CGGAGAAACCGGACAACCCGGTATAGCGGCGTAGAGCTGACAGCTCGTAAAAACGGGGAAGGTAGAATCAAGGAATCCCCGGAGGCGTGATCTTCGTGACGTCAGTCGGGGATCCCCGGGGTCGATCCGTGACATATCTACCATTAATATAACAGGGAAGTCACTGAGGTCCACAGCTGCATGGGCGTCTGCGTTTCCCGGGACACGTCCTCTTTCTGGGCCCCTGTCCAGGTGGTTTTTCAAAAAAACAAACCCGGGTTTAGTACTGCAACTCGTATGACCCAGTGTTGCAAATTATAAGCACGAAATTTCAATATGCAGCGGCCACCTATATAATCACATGGCATTTGCAAGGCTCGTGCACATGTTTACTTTAAAAATGAGATGACATGCAAATCTCTACGTGTCACGCTACTCACGAGTGACGTCAACTTCCGAAAAGCATTTGTGTTTTCATGTGAGCAGTGAACCATGCTGTTTGCTTTACGTTTTACAAACTTCGTTGAAACAGACTTGTATACCTGTATATTGTGTCAATTGTGTGTAGATTGTAAAACGAGAGTTAACTGCAAGGTTACCATGTATCCGGGTTTCCTGGACGTGAATTTTGATTTTACAGGATGGTTAGGGAAAAATTCATTAATATTCATGAGTAAGGTGCTACCTGATTGGTCGATGAACATGAAAATTCATTAATATTCATGAGTAAGGTGCTACCTGATTGGTCGATGAACGTGAAAATTCATTAATATTTGATCCCTGGACATCCTCTTTTTCCCTCCCCAAATATGGCAACCCTATGCATTGGCAGATTTGGAAAGTTCAGGTTCAGGAATACAAATCCAGACCAAGATTTTATTTCAGCCAAGCAGTTGGAAATACAGAGTCACATTCACAGAGTACTCGTTGGCTGAACAAACATATTTGTTGGCTGAAATATTTTTTTTGTCTGGGTTTGTACAATTTGAACCTGAACTGTCTACCACTGTGCATGGGCTTCAAAATACAACTAATTTTTCAGATAGGTTTCATGCAATCCAGTACCAAGAAGCATCAAAGGTGATGGCCATTCTGGATACCATGACGGCATCATGCAACAATGTGTATCTCATGGAACAGGGGGCACCGAAATAACAATGTATTTTTCTCCAATTTGGGGTTGAATACGTTCTAACATCAGTGATTTTCTACAGGAGACTCCAAGAGAGAGGAAATGAAAAGTAGGTACAATTCATCTTCATCTCATCAGGCAGCCAGTAACCCATTAGCAAGACGGTTCACATGGTGTACCAAACACGCTCAACTTTCACTCACAGGCTACAGCTGGACTCCAGACTGGGAGATCGACGTCAGCTCAAGCCCCTCCAGCCCTCGGACTGCATTTTGGCTTGGGGCACTATCAACATTATTCTTGCTGTGCCAGCTGTAGGTACATTGGTCTGTATTAAAATAATGGCCAATCATATTGTACTTTAGCCACACCCACCTGCCTGCTAGAGTCACCCATGCTCTCATTCTAAAAAGGTGCCATAGAATGCATGTTTCTTCAGTATTTTAAATTGTTCTTTGGCAAATACATAGAAGATCTATGAACTTGATTTGGTCGAAAAATGCCCAGAATTGGTTTTACAAGCCTGTTTTCAACCCTGTTATTTGGTTTTAGAATAAAACAGGCTGATTTCCCTATTTTGGTGGGCTCATTAACATGAGCTCTGCTCTGATTGGCTGGTTTAGAGTGAGGCACTACAATGGCTCACAGGGAACCAACATCTCTACAATCATATGCCGCATAACAGCGTTTCGGTCAGCAATGACCTACACTTATGACGGTGGTCTACATAGCGCAATGCATTACTCATCAAGTGCCCTTGTGGAAACTGGGCACTCATGCCCCTCGAGAGAGAAAATATGTTGCAGGTTGTGCACGTAGATGTGTGTACATTAAGTTTGGGGGTGTAGTTAAGTCTCAGATTTTTGAATCAGTTCATTTTATCACATTCTTTGACATATATGGGATTTATATTTGAAAAATGTAACAACAATGTCAGATTCACAATTTGTCAGTTCCATGTATAAATCTCTTGAGCCACAACTACTCATTTACTAATAATGTTCAATCACACCATGGTTAATTTAGACACAGCCCACTGTGCAGCACTATACTATAAGTCAGTCATGATGCGTCAGCCTGAACAACAAGCTGCAAAATTATATCGGCCCACTTGTACCAAATAATCTACAACTGTGAAAAACATGAACTCCAAGATCTGAATCTGAGTCTTCGTTGTTACATCCCAAAGACAAACAGCAGAGGGGAAGCCAGGCAGTGCCAGAGGTAAGTGTTACTGGTAAATACACCCAAAATTCAAAATTAAACTGGATACACCTAATCATCAGCACAACTGCTCTCATAAAGACATAGAAGAAAGAAAACGTTGTGGATACTTGACTGAAATGCTGTTAATCCTCCACGTTCTTCTGAGGCATGGACTCTACAAGGTGTCTGAAGGTGTTTCTGTGGTACCTGGCAAGTTAGCAGCAGATCCTTTAACCAGTCCTATTACCAGGCACATACGGGGAGCACTGGGGAGATCTGAGCAACTGCCCTTTTAGACCAAACGATTGAAAATGCCCTTTTTTGATAACTAACGATTATGTATTTACCAAGCTCGTCGTCATCGTTATCCCAGCCCCCAAAAAGTCTGTGCACAGCAGATACAGATGATGACAGAACCACAGATGCTTCTTTGGATTGGGATCTGGTGAATTCTAAGGCTAGGGCAACACCTTGAACTCCTCATTGTGTTACTCAAACGACTTCCAAACTACTCATGCAACATGGCAGGGCGCATTTTCCTCCTGGAGGTCACTGCTAATGGGGTGATAGAGTCACCATGAAGGGGTGTATTTCGTCTGCAGCAATGTTTAAGTAGGTGGCACATGTCAAATCGACGTCCATCTGAAAGTCTACACCAGGGCCTCCCAGTCGAATATTCACCAGATCATCACACTCCCTCCACAGGTTTGCCTTCATCCCCACACTGCATGATGGCAGCAATCACTTCCCCAGGCAAACAACTGTTCAGTTCTGAAGCTTGGAACCAGTTTCGAAGTTTGGAACAGAACAAATTTAGGTTTGATTTGATCAGTTCCAGTGTTCGCAGATCTATTGTAGGCACTTTCAATAGTGGACAGGGGGCAGCCTGGGCATTCTGAATATGTTCCAGACCTGGACACGCACTATTGTCACTAGATAGTCAATGTTATTCACTTCAATTGTCATAATGGTCATAATGGTTTTGCTCATCGGTGTATTTTATGACAAAGGGAAACATATTGTATTCCAAAAAAAAATAACAGAAAAATAAGAAGAAACAAGAGTATATGCTGGTTCAAACAGGATTTCAAAATAAAAGGTGCATTTAATGAAGGAATCGTACGGAGCCCTGCTAATTACTTGCTAATAACATCGTGAGAACGTTCCACTAATTCATCCTCATTTTAGATAAATCGCCGCCACATTTTACCACATAATCTGCTTATTGTCTAAGGTGTCATGGGTATGAATTAGTACAACAAAATTGGAATTTGTAAAACCTGGCCACGTGGACACTGGAGGGGATGCTAATCTATCCCTCACACACACACAAGGAAAATTCAGAGGCACCACTTCCCATTCGTGCATGTTTTAGGATAGTGGACACGGCAAAAACGTGCAAACTGCAAATACACAGAAGCACCACGCTGGAGGCATTAGGTCACAGCGCAGTACCGCTGTTATGATGCCCAGTTTACAACATCTTTGAAGCGACGTGTGACATTGACCTCCTACAGGACTCACACAGCATGATACCAACAGAAAAATATACTATGGATATCAAGTCATTAAGAATATCAGTGAAGATAAGATACATATGCAGGGACATGCTGGATAAGATTCAGCTCTTCAGTAAACATTCAATGACTTTTATAGTAGATAGTTATGGTATTACAGTAAAGCACTTATGACTACATACTTGAAAATCTTGACATTGCAGTTCAATAAATGGGGTTATCAAAGCTGGATTATTGACGCACATTACTGCTTATGTCTGTGTGTAATGTATTTTATACACATCAGGGTTAAATCAACCACACTACACACCAGGTATTTGACAGAAGTTACCAATTTCTATCATCTTAAATGTTATACAAACAGAACTTTATTTTAAAAAAAAAATCTCCATATTTTTAGTTTATCACAAAAACTCACTATGCAAGTACACAATAAAATAGAATGACAGTAGACTTTGACTTTTGTCACTTCACTTTTTCATGTTGACTTTTGCCTGATGACTTTCGTCCGTGCTCTTTACAGGTTGATGTTGACTTTTGCCTGATGACTTTTGTCACTCCTCTGTATGGGCGAGTAACACCTGCCCAAGTGAGGAGAGCTCCCACGATGGCCAGCCCCCTCGAAACAGCAGATACATCAGCCTCTCAGCTTCTTCTTCCTCCTGCCATCGGTGACCGTTTGGCCCATGGCGGCTGGCGGGGGAGCACCCAGCTTCTTGTTTTTTGCTTTCTTTACTTTTTCCTTAAGAGCTTCAATGTCTATTTTAGCCTCTGTTGGAGCTAAATGGGGGGGAAAAAAACAGTGATGCAACCAAATGATTAGACAAATAAGCAAAAACGTTGACCTCAAATTTACATGACATTATTTATGAAAATTAAATTGTGAAAATGTAAGCCATTGCGGTCCTGTAGAGCTGAGGTGGAGAAACAAAGGTTGACTGGGGTAAAACTGCACCACGAGATGACAAACTGATGTTGACTGTGAAAATTTGTGTGTGTGTGCAAACAAATGTTTTAAAGACACAGCACCTTTCTGGACCTTTGTCATCATGCGCTTCTCTTTAGGAGGGATGAAGGCCTTGTTTCTCTCTTCCTGCTTTTTAGTCAAAGCTTCTGCCTGTCTCACCTGTAGTAGAAAGAGACAACACCACCCCCCCCACCAAGACCCAGGTGAGGACTCAGACGACCCTTTACGGCAGTTTCCCAACCCGGTCCTCGGAGACCGACAGCCGGTCCATGTTTTTGCTCCCTGCCAGACAGTCCACATTTTTGCTCCATCCCAGCTCCCAGTAACATGGACTGTCTGTGGGTCCCCGAGGACTAGACTGGGAAACTACTTTAATTAAATGGGGATCCTACCGCGGGCCCAACGACAGGCTAACCTTGATCTCCGCCATCTTCTTCCGCTTCTTCTCTCGTTCTCTCAGGAAGAACTCGCCAGTCGCCAGCTCTTTGTCAACCTGACAATACAATTTGAATAAGTATCATTTTCCCCACATGCTGCTTTCCAGTAACTGGTTCTAGGCTGGCAGACATTCACGGACACACTGTCATGCTAATACTGTCTTATGTTTTACAAATCATTAATTTGCCGGCGTGAGAGAGGCGCCCGAAGCTGGGAAATGTGCTACGTGTCACAAAGCCTTTCTGGATCAAATCCAAGGACAGATCTCTTAACACCCCACCCCACCCCAGCCGAAAGGACAAAAAAGCTGGAAGATACATTGCCGTAATTAAATTCAGTTGTAAAAAAAAAAAAACACTGTTGGTCTGTATACATAGATGCCTGTACCATCTCATCCATTGACTGTCAGAAGTTGTCATGTTACTTGCGGGGGACAATTGCAATATGGGAGCTTGTACTGACCTGGCTCTCAGGCTGCGGAGGGGGGAAAGGCGTGTAGGCCTTCTTCTCCATCTTCTTCTTGGGCTCCTTGCGTTTGGTCAGGTTCTTGTGCCTGAACTTGGGCAGAAACCTCTCCCAACTCTGCATTCGGAGCTCAGGGTCCTTGGACAGCTCCCGCTTGATCATCAGTGTCTTGTAAACACCAGGGGGGGTTTACTTTGCTTTGCTTTTTTAAATAATATGCAAACCATTTAGTTTATACCCCAGAATGTACAAAGTTACTACTGTACTCACTGGGAGCACAATGTTTTGGATGGTTAGGTGCAGTAATATGAACATAAGCAAGTGACAAACGGGGGGCATTCAGCCCATCAAACTTGCGTAGAGGGAACTACACTAATAATTCGACCTTTCATGTGGATAATTTAACAGTCCTTGACCACCACCCCCCCACATTTAATTGCCAGACCATTTACAGTCCGGATTGTTCTTATTTCTTGTGCCAATGCACCAGGCTTGTGGTGGTTTCCAGGTAGCAAAGCAGATCTTAAAGTCACATTTATGAAGTATGGTTTGGAAGTTATATTAAGAATAAGAATTTTACAAAAATTAAAAATGCATTATACACTTACAGTATGCAAGGCATAGTCATAATCTTTAGTGAAAACATTTTTGTAAACTGAAATAAGATACAAAATTAGAATTAAAAAATTACCAATGAGAACAATATAAACTGCTTTGGGGACTAACTGAAATTAAATAATTTCAGAATGCTACAAACTGTGTTTCTACTATGGACAGATTTGCTGGTTAAGTGTTAAATGACTAATTAAAATTAGTACATTCAACCATTTATTTTGTAATAAAAAAATTGTGATCTATAGCGTGGATCATACTTCTAACCAAAAGTAATGTGATGTGGCATTTTGGCCACATAACCCACCCCTACCTGGGGCTTTATCACCAACAAATAGATGATATGAGACAAATACAATAATTCATACCACATTCTTTCAAAAATAAGCTTACCTTGATGTTGTATATTGGGTGGATGTTCTTCATTGTATCCAAAACCACTTTTCTGACCTGAAATGGGAAACTCTCCATTACTCATTTCACAGGAACCAATATCTAGCATAAATATACCAGGCACTTCAGAGGAAACAAAGTAACAGTTCCAGTGATGACCTAATAACGAGACACACGTGTTTGAGAAGTCCTCAGAAGAACTGACATGATACTTTGGGAATGCCAGTGGGATAGTTTCAAGAATCAAACGACCCACCTCTTTGAGGCCACTGTAAGGTCCTAGGGCACAAACGGTGTTCCCCTGCACCATGACGTAGCAGTTTGTGAGCAGCTCCAAAGCCTACAGAGAAGGTGGGGGCTTCTATGTCAGTCATACTCATAGCCATACTGCTAAGTTACTGACATGCCACACTAAATAACAATACTTGCCTTTACACACGTCATTCAATGACAAGGGCTTCCTTTACACATCTATGCCATGGATAATATGTCAGTCCTCAGATGTGGGTAGTTCAGGTTCAGAGAGTAAAAGTGCAGACCAAGATTTGTTTCAACCATCCAGCTGAGTACAAGGAGTTACAGTCCCAGAGTACTCAACTGGTCGGTTGAAACAAAATCTTGATCTGGACTTTTACTCTCTGGACCTGGGCCCGTATTCACAAAGCATTTTATCTTACCACTAAGAGTACTCCTAAATCGTACTAAAAGTTTTTAACAAAGAATCTTTTCCTAAAACACATTCAAAAAGTGGCTGAGAGCAACTTTTAGTTAGGGAAAGAGCCAAAACCTAAGCTAAGAGTAAGACTCCGTCGCTGTGGCTGACGCCAGTTCTCATGCAGTTTGCCTGCAATAACCACAGAGATTGGTTGATGAGAGACCAGTATGTGCTGGTGAAAATGTATACGCAACATCCCACAAACACAAGTACAGTGGAAGCCACTTATAGTGATCATGGTTATGATGATCAACCGCTTATATGGATCAAAAAACTTGGGACAGAATCATTCTTGTACAAACTGTTTAAATAATTCGCTTATAGTAGTCCACTTACAGTGTTCATTCTTGGTCTTTTTAAAAATGACAACATATGGAAAAAATAAAACTACTTTATTTTTTTTAACTTTAATTTGATTGCCCTACTTTGCCTTGCAGTAACCTGTCTGCTTCTGGCTGGCTACCCGAGGCTAAAGCTGCGTGCAGAGAAAACGTGAGGGGAAAATGAAAGTCATTTTCTCTCAATGACAAATATAGACTCATCGAGGCTTATGATAAACTGCCACAACTAAGCCAATGAGACACAGCAGCGAAACTACATTAAGGTAAATTTTATGTACAATACTGTATTATAGCGTATTTGAATTATATACAGGTCAGTAATTTTCAAAGCGTTTGAAACAGCTGTACTGTGTGAATAAAATTCAGTACACAGCGACAGTGTCCATTTTATTGCTTTTTGCTACTTTTAGTGCTAAGGGGCTTTGTGAATTGATCTTGGTCAAAAAAATTAGGAGGCTTACATTTAGGACTGACACGCCCATTAATTTTAGGAGTTTCTCCTAAATCGGCAAGTTAGGAGGTACTTTTAGCCTTAAGATGTTTTGTGAATACGAGCCCTGAACTACCCACCTCTCTCAATCCTTCACACATACACAGGCATTTGAATTTATGGGCTCCAGTACTACAAAGACCTACACATAAACAAGATCAAGACCAATGGAAACACACACAAATATAAGGGCCACATACAAAATCCAAAGGGACAAAATAAAAATAAAAAAACTGTGAACCCACAACCCTGGAGGGCATCCTGACCCAGTGTCACCCAGTTATGGTTATAACTGACTAAAAGTTGAAGTATGCTTTACAATGCTGCCCTCTACCTGTGGTCTGCTCAAAAAAACAGCTACTCAAGAAAACAGTACAGAAAAGATGCAAGTTATATAAAAAAAATAAGTAAAAACACAAAGTGAGATTTTGAAAGCAGATAACTGAATCATTTTGTGATTTACTACTTACCTTCAGTGTTGATCCTTTAGGGCCTATTAGCCTGTGTCTCCTTTTTACAAAACGTTCCCTGTTTCTTACAAGAGTGCCAACTTTAATGATGTCACAGGCCACGTCATCCTGGAGGATCCTCACAGCCTGAAATACACAAAACCAGTCCAAAGACCCTAGTGGGCACTCAGTACAAATTTTAAGGTTTTCTAATGGCATCATTCTGAGGTCCCCTTTACGAATTCAAGATCACAGACACAAAAGGACAGCACCTCACGCTTTGGCATGAAGCTGCAACATGCAAAGTCAAGGTCCGACATAATCCACATTCACATACCTGTTCGAATGGCACGCTTCTAGCCAGCAGCTTAACCAGGTCTCTGGCCCTTATAATAGCATATGGGTCGAAGGTCTTTTTTGTCGTGGTAACTGTCATACTGCCCTCAATCAAGTCTAAAGTGGCTTTAACGTACTGAACAGGGGAGGGGGAGGGGGGTAGGAGAATACAGCATGATGTCGATCGTTAGCTTTGATATGAGTGAACTTACAATTAGCAATCCATACATCCATCTTCTATACCCGCAATTACCAATATTACTTTTGATTTATACATGAAGGATTACAATAAACCATAATACATCAAAAAGAAAACCTACATACAGACAAAGTTTACAGTAACAACTTTAACCTAATTTACAACTAAGTCAACTACCCCATCGAAAATAACATAACGGTGAGGTACTTACGCTGTCAGCCAGGGCCTTCTGCACCAGGGGCCAACATTCTTTTAGATACGCTTCTCTGTATTTTGGAAATAAAGTGGCGAAACTGCTCTCCTCTAAAAATCCTCTCGGATTATCGTCTTTGGTGAAAGGCGCTTCTTTCCAGCCATCGGGAACAGTGAGGAGTTCCGACTCATCCACTGCTCCCATGTTAGCATTACCTAAAACATTACATTACAGATTAAAGCTACATAGAAATATTACTACGTATATGACAACATATGCCACTGTACGTCAAATTTTTAAAAGCAAAACTAGGAAAGTGTTAATAACAGCAACCATGGAAAAACTTGAAAAGCATTCCTTGGACGAACGTGAATATATATCATCGCCTTTACTGATCAAACAAACCTACAGCTTAACGTAATATGCAATATAATCAGCGGAATGAATAATTAAACTTTAACTACCCTGATTCTTTTTCTTTTTTGTTTTCTTCCCGGCCAGCACCGCACTCATGCTTCCCGTGCCTATGGGAGACGCCATTATTGTGCTACCTTTCACCCCGGATGTAAAAATTGTAGCTGAACTGCAGAACGCGCACGCTCAGCCATTGACAACAGGAAGTTAAGGGGAATCAAGTTCTTGAGGCCAATGTGAAGTATGTTAAGTTTTATTATTTGTATTATTGAATTATATAGTTATACGTTTATTTATTTCATGCCATACACGCATTATTGCAATGTTTTTGTCTAGTGCGTTAGTAACTTTTTTCTCTCATGACTGGAGTGAATTTTTTCAGTTACTGCAACTACTAGCCAGTTAGCTCACGTATCTTACCTTAAAATAGACACATTTCTGCTTTTACTTTTTTCATGGAGTTATCTTGTGAGTGTCTTAGTTTCCAGCATATAGTTTTTAGTTGTTCGTGTGGTCTTGAGGAGAACATTTGTCGGTTTCCTTATGGCAAGACAAGTTTATTATCATGCACAGGGGTTATTTAATGTGCTTTATAAAAACAAGCTTTCAAAAGTTAAACCAAGACAAAAAAGCAAAATAGAAATGAATTAAAATTCCTTAGAAAATCTAAAAAATCGGATTAAATGTGCAGTAAATGTACAGCTAAAAATCAGACAGAGAGGTTTTATATTATATTTTATATTATATCACAACCCCTCCAACCTCGTGGTTTCCGTTCCTCACACGACCTTAAAATATCAGAAGAATATTTAAATTTATGTTTAAAGTGATGTAAAAATGTTTATTAAGCTTATTATTAAAACAAAGATGTATTGTTTCTTTGTGTTTTACAGATGCACCCCTCCATAACCCGTGAGGACATTGTACCACAGCAGTGCACAGCCTGTTGCACTTTTTATCACTGCCCACTATGCCCTGCCCTGCAGCCTATCAGGTTGGGAAGAATGCAACAACAGTTAGATGGGCATTTTAAAATTGCAATAACTTTTGAAGGTAATGCAAGGTGGAGTATTACAATGTAACTTGGGTGACTGGATAATTTATGTGCGACAAGGCACTGAACTATAGCACAAGAAAAACTGAGAAGTTTAGCCAGACATGGGAAAAAATATTCTTTAATATAGTGTGTAAAGTGTCCCCCAAGACAGAGTCTGTTTTCAGTCTACTTTTAAGGCATTGTACAGTTTTAGTCGTAGAAAAACCATTCATGGCTTATAATGTGTAATTATGTGGGGGGATTTTAAATTTGTACAAGCAATGAATGCTGATGAAGATTTCAGTGTGAATAAGGATGTTCTAGCTCCATTTTGTTTTGGCTTTAGCCGTGTGCAAGATATGCACAGATTTTTGGAAGAAATGATTGACTGCAGGAAGGTCACCATGTACTGTTCCCTCCTTAACTAAATTAGACGTTCTTATTGGTTTGTTTTGTTTAGTTTTTTTTAGGCTGTTATCTCTTATCTGAAAAAAATAAACATTTGATTCTTGATGTTGTGTCCAGTGTTCTTTGTTTTTTTTTTTTCCATCCTGCTTTTATTAAGCAGTTTGGTACCTCATGACATATATAAAGTGTATTAGGTATTACAGTTCTGATATACAAGATTATTAACACAGAATTGTACTATTTTTTTTTTTTATTCCATTTTACTCTTTATTCACACACACACAAAAATACGGTGTGTGTGTGTGTGTGTGTGTATATATATATATATATATATATAATGTCATACATGTATGTATGTAACAGTGGCGTGTGCACGCAGGGTCTGAACATCAGTGCTCTCGCTACGCTACGGCCACGATGCTAATAATTACAAGAATAATAGGCAAGCATTCAGCTTGATTAACTTAATCTGGTATTTAAAATCTAGCATTTTAATAAACCAAAAAAGGCCAGCCAAACAACATAAATATTCACATGTTAACATGATTAAGAGTATTTCATATCGTTCATAATTGGCAAGACTATAACTCGAAAACGTACCTTTTGTACACTTTATTAGCATTAACTTAGCAATCAGGAAAGGATTCCCCGGCTGCACTTTCTGTGGTGACTGAGCGTGCGTGTGGGTCTGCAGCCAGAGGACACTGGAAAGGACTGGGGCTATTTCAGAAAGCAGGATTTCTTTCCTATAGTCGAATAACTTGTCGAATTTAAAATAGTCTGAGCTATCTGTAGATGAACGAAGATAAAGGCCATTTAAACTGGGTAAATTAAATCCGACAAGTTAGCCTTCTAAGCAAGAAATCTTGCTTTCTGACATATTGCTGTTGCTAAACAGCAGTCTGTCTGTAGTACGTGCACGCTCTGCCGCGGTGGGAAATGTATCCGTGTAATTGCTTCCTAATTGAAATAATAATTGAGAATATCATTTCATATCGCATTTAACTAGGGATGTCCATTTTGGATTTTTTCATCAACCACAGTCGACACTCGTTAATCGTCTATTAACCGTTAACGGCAGGAAAAAAATTTATTTTTTAGAATGGATACCTGTCCGTCACCAAATACCAACCAATGATTAACGTAACAATTACTTATACATTTGCACTACCGCATAACATATATTGTGTATGGCCTACTGTGACTACTGTATAACTACAACTCT